TAGATAAAAAGCTACAGAGGTAGCTTCAGCCTGTTCCTACAGGAGAATTCTGGAGTGTAAATGATGCCTCCCACCCAAGACAGGGGAGTTAGGGCTTTCACACTCCTGCATTTATCAGTCCTTGGTTAAGAGCTCGCCCTATTTACCGGGCTAATTTCCCAGGTACTTCCAGTCTCTGTGTAGGCAGGCAAAGTGGCTCCAATAGCCTGAGCATAGTCCTCTGAAAAAGAGCTGCAGGTCTTGGCTGCTGGAAGTAAAAGTACACTGAAACTTCAGGCAAAGGGGGCACTCAAAAAAAGGTGGATAAATATCCAGGAGTCATGGTTGAAGTACCGAAATATTCCCTCTGGAGACATAGTTCTAAAAGCTGCCGTATTTCTCTACTTTCTTGATTAGATCTCTCTTTCTCTCAATTTAATTGCTTCTACTCTGGAGACATGCTGGTTAAAGGGTACAATTTTAAGATGAGTAAGTTTTGGAGATCTAATGTACAGCATAATACATACATACATAATACATAATGCGTACTTGAAATTTTCTAAGAGTAGATTTTAAGCTTTCTCACTACACACACACACACACACAAACTACATGAGGTGATGGGTGTGTTAATTAACCTGATTGTGGTAATCATTTCACAATGAATATGTATATCAAATCATCTCATTGTACATTTTAAGTATATATAATTTTGTCAATTACACCTCGGTGAAGCTGGAAACAAAAAATAAGGGCTGCTACTGAGGCTATCTGAAACAATAGGCGCTATCTGAAATAAACATGTGTAATCTGATCTTTCCTAAAGGCTGTCATTTTCTTCAACTCCTACTGGGGCTTCCTAGCTCAAAGCCTTTTATGTAGAAGTATTGTGTTTTCAAACCCTGCAAGGCCCCCAAATGCTGGACTCTGTTCCCTTTCAGTTCTGTTTGTAAATTGGTTAATTCTCTTTCTCTTTCTGGTAATACCCTGTTAATCACATAAAAAAATCACCAACATCCACTATTAATATTGCTTTCTGAACTCTTCCCATAGAGCTACAAATTATGTACTTGTTCTGATCTGCTTTCTAATGTATTATGGGCAACAGTTTAGCCACTGCCTGATATGAATCTACAGTTATCCAGCCTACTACATTTCTTAATTCCTACATGACTGCTATGCTAAGCTAATGCCACATATTTTAGATTTTTTGTTATAGTTGTCCACCATTTCTATTATTAATCCAAGTAGGTGATTGTTACTATTGTAACAAACAACCCTAAAATCCTACTGTCTTAACCCAATAAAGATTTATGTTTTGCTCTAATCAGTACAGTGAGGATCAGTGTGGTGAAAGTGCTCTGTGGAATTATTAAGAGACCCAGGGTCCTTCCATCTAATATTTCTGCCATTCCTTAGCTTCTCAGAGTTTTCTGTATCTGGCTGACTGATGTCCAAAAAACAAAAAGGAACTATAAATCACTGGAGATTTTAAGGGTCAGGTTTAGATTAGGCAATCACTGCTTCTGTCTATGTTCCACTGGCCAGAAATAGCCACACAGCCTGATGTAGAAGTAAGGGAGCTAGGAAATGTGGATTTCCTGGGTATACAGAGGGAGGTAAGATGGTGAATATTTATCATTGTCTCTACCAGTTAGGATGCTTTCAGTTGCAGATAAGAGAAAACCAAACTAATATTGGCTTTGTCAAGGAGGAAAAGCTTTCTCTCTACCCTCTTATATTTAGTTTTGGGGTACCTGCAAATTAAACTGACAAAAGACAGGTTAGCAAGAGAAAAGAGAGATTTTAATCACATATCATGTATGGGAGTTCACAAAGAAATGTGATTCAAAGGGGTAGTTAGGATTTGGGGCTTATATACTATTTTAATAGATGAAGGGGAAGGGGAGAAAGGCATTTATGTGAAAACAAATAACTTCTTAGAAGGGGGGCTCGGGAGAGAGGGCATTTATGGGAAAAGCAATGACTTTTAGGAAAGATAAATGGGCCCTTAAGAGAATAGGTGGGAGATATGATAGTTTGTGACAATGTCTGTTTAGGTGTGGTGACAATTCTCATAGTCTCTAGCCATAAGTCACTCTTCCCTAGTTGCTCCCTGGGAGGAGATTTATGACACTTGAATTCTTTTGGAAGACTCTGCTTTTAGGCAGATAAGGAATTTCAGGAACTCAAATACCTTTGGCTAGGGACTTCCCTGGTGGTCCAGTGGTTAAGACTCTGTGCTCCCACTGCAGGGGGCCCGGGTCTGATCCCTGGTCAGGGAACTAGGTCCTGCATGTCCCAACTAAGAGCCTGCATGTCGCAACTAAAAGATCCTGCATGCTGCAACGAAGATCCCGTGTACCGCAGCTAAGACCTGGTGCAGCCAACTAAATATTTTTTTAAAAATGCCTTTGGCTAAAAATAATTTTTATGCCACAGTGGCTTACTTTGGACCCCTTAGGCTTAAACAGAAAAGGGAATTTATTGGCTCATATAACAGAGAAGTCTAGCAGCAGAATGGGGTTCAGGTTGGGTTTGATTTGGAGGTTTACGATGCTCTCAGGGATTGATTTCCTTTTCCTGTGATTGATTCTCCCAGCCCTTCCTCCTCCACGTTAGCTTTACTCTCAGTTGGCTCTCAGTAGCACACACACAAGGAAGGTTGTAGTTTTTCCAGTATTCACATTCTAATGCCATATCATCCAGAGAAAGAATGAACTTCTCTTTTGCTCACAATCAAACAAAAATCCTGGTCTTCACTCTGATTGGTTTATGAAACAATAAATGGTTCAAAGGGAGGTGAGGCTAGCTGTACTATAGTTTTAGGCTAGTTGTACTATTCTTGGAGTTGGGATTGTGGTGATGATTATTCCACTCGAATTTGGGTGAACACAATAGAGTTGTGGAATAGAACTGGGAAATCATCTATATCTGTTACAGTCAGGAAAGAGTGGCACATGATCTCACTTAAGGAGAATGAGTACTGTGAGGATACTTAGCCCGTACAGAATGTAAAGGGGCAGAAAATATAACAAGTCAGAGGAAGCACTTAAAAATGAAGGGATAATGTCAAGAGAACCAAGACACTTGTGTTACAGATCCAAGGGAGGAGTTTTGAGAATGAAGTAGTGAAATAAATCATTCAATTTGTTGATTTCATACTCACCAGATATCCTTTAAAATTTGGCTTCTCATGTAAATGTTCCTTTTGAGTAAAAATGTGTACACAGTTTTCTGGTCTTCTTGGCAGTTATGAAGAATTTGGTTTATATATCAGTCTCTGGTAAGTCTGGTTGGCATGAATCATCCCACTGGATTTAAATTAGCTCTGGTTACATAGGACTGAGTGAACTGATGAGGATGATTATAATTTTTGTGACTTTCTGTTTGAATTAAAAAAAAATTCCTCCCCCCCCCCAAAAAAAATTAGCTCTGGAGGCTAACATTAACTTTCTGTCTCTGCAAACTGAGGACCAGTGTGTAGAATACAGAGTGAAATTTTAAGTTCACTTTCATACTGTAACACCCTTTGCTAACCATTAGGAACTATATTGGAAACACTTGAAATATAATGACTTAAGAATGCTCCAAGATTTTTGAACTTTTACTTTCCATGTTTGCTGTTTTGACTATTCTCTTTTCCTGTGAAACTTATTTGCAGTGCCTACAAGAAAGGGAAAGCTGAGTGGACTATCCCTGGCCCAGCTGGGAGAAGAGTAGGTCATGGTCATCTGTAGCCATTCCAGGTTTCTAGGGCTAATTCAAGTGGTCTTCGGGAAAGACTGGTCTGGGAGTGGTAATCAATAAGGAGACAATTGTAATGATAAATGCCAGAGAAAAGCTGGGGACAGATTGGTTGAGAAAGAAGAAACTGATTTCAAATAGGCAGGATGAATTAGTACGATCCAGTGATTGAATGGTGAGCACAGTGATTGGTGTGTATTAAGGATCTAACAAGGCAAGATTTCAAATCCAGGTCACTCTTGAGAGCTGGACCACTACTGACATCCATCTTGTGAGTACAACTGGGAGAGGAAACTTTCCTTACAGATCAGAGTACAATGTTTTGCAAGTATTTGTGCAAGCAGTATCTTAACAGGTGTTCTTGTAAATGCACTTATCTTTTGTTTTCGTTTTTTTAGTTATTACAGGCATCCATATGGCAGTTAGGAATTGAAGGAGACGGAAGCAAAATCTCAAGTTTGAAACAAATTTGGCAAAGGTAGCCAATTATTAAAAGAACCTTCTCCACTTCTTTTTCTCATCTGGTGTGTGGTCTTTGCCGCTCAGGCACAGTGTTTCTTTTTTTTCCTTTTTTTAATTAATTTATTTTTGGCTGTGCTGGGTCTTCGTTGCTGCCCGCGGGCTTTCTCTAGCTGCAGTGAGCGGGGTCTACTCTTCATTGCAGTGCATGGTCTTCTCATTGCGATGGCTTCTCTCCTTGCACAGCACGGGCTCTAGGCCCATGGGCTTCAGTAGTTGTGGCTCACGGGCTCTAGAGCGCAGGCTCAGTAGCTGTGGCGCACGGGCTTGGTTGCTCTGCGGCAATGTGGGCTCTTCCCCGACCAAGGATTGAACCCGTGTGTCCTGCACTAGCAGGCGGATTCTTAACCACTGCGCCACCAAGGAAGCCCCAGGTGTTTCTTTTTAATGGCGCCTCTCTTCCTAGACCTTCTTACTTTCCAAGCCTGCAGAGAACTAGCTGTTACACACAGGGAGGCCCCGGAACTCGTGTTTCCACGCCTTCAGATTCGATGGAGCCCAGGTTTCAGGATTGCTGGCCGGGAAGCAGTACGCACCCACGGCCGCTCCAGCCCTGACCTAGTGCCTGACCTTCGGCCGTTGCCTGCGCATAGCTGGGCGCCGGGGCCTTCGAGGATCCGCAACGCGGCGCACATGCCCGTGCCCGCCTTCCGCGTCGGCGAGAAGAAAGGGAGCCCGGACGCGCGGAGGCTGACCCGGAGCCTACCCATGAGGCAGCGCGCCGGCTCCTCGAGAGCCCCCCCACCCCGCCCACGGCTCGGCAGCCTGCTCCGCAATGGGAGCCACCGCCGTCGCCGCTGTGTAGTTTTTCGTGCTCCTCCTTTTCCTCCTCCTCTTTCTCCTCCTCCTCAGGGCCCCAGTCAGGCCGATCCGCTCCGCTCACGGTAAGCGCCCCCCGCCCCCGCCCGCCCCCGCCCGCCCCGCGCTGCAGCAGGCAGAGGCCCTCCCGCGCGGCCTGCGCCGCCTCACTCCGGGGGCGCCGGGCTGGGGGTGTCGAGGCCGGCGCGGGTCGCCGAGAGCGCCCAGGGCGCGGGGGAGGGGACCGGCTGCGCGGCGGCGGCCGGACCGCCATCTTGCGCCGGCCCTGGCGGGGGAGGGATCGCGGCGCGACGCGGCAGCCAGCTCGGAGCGGCAGGCCGGGGCCGCGCAGGCCGCGGACGACGCCGTTTCCCCGCCCCGCCTCGCCCCCCAGGGCCTGTTTGCCCCTGGCCTGGTTTGGGCTTTTCTTTCCGGAGGCTTCTCCCTTGGTCTAACGTACATTTTGTGCCGCTGTTTGGCGGGGACCCGTGCTTTTCTCGCTCCAGCTCTCCCCCCGAGTCTCGTGAGTCGTAGGCAGAGACCACAGGGGGTGCCGAACTTTGAGGCTCGGGGACCCTAGGGCCCAGGTTCCCCCGCCCGGGTGACCAGTCAGTACCTGCTCACACCCTCTTTCTTGTCAAATGACTTCCCCGCTGTGCCCTACACGTCCCGTTATTGTCTGTAGGAGAGGGGCCCTGAGGAGAAACGTGGACTTGATAACACAGTTCCCTAACTGAGCTTGCAGGTTTCGCTTCGTGAGACGGAAAGAATGATCTCATTCTGAGGTTTTATCCGGCTCTAGAGATGGACGGAGTTCCTCCCAACTTATCTCAAGTGTTAACGCTTTTATGGAGCGATCGGCTAGAGAGGAGAAACGTCAAAGTGAACCCACTTCTACGAGCACGGGAGACCTTCGTTCCAGGGGGTTCTCTTTGTTTGCCAAGAATTGTTTAAAAAAAAATTCTGTGAACTTAAACCTGATTTATTTATTGTTTTCAGGTTTGAACTGTGTTTTAAGAATTTGACGTTTTTTAGCGGCATTAAACATAAAATAGAAGCATTAGAGGAGCGATTTAAAGTACAAAAGCCACCTCTCTGCAATTGTGAGGTGTCCTGCTTTGGGGGATTACTGTGCCAACTCAGGCTGTCTCTAAGCAGAAACTTACTGTGCCTGGTTTGCTTAGAGAGTTAAGTTGGGGCTGTGTGCTCTCGATGTTTTAAAACATCGTACAAGTACGATTCTAATTGTATCTTGCATTTGTATGGGTCATTGTTACAGGATGATACGTATTTCCTAACCCAGTGGTCTTTGCTGCTAGAACTGATTTTGAAGGTTAGGAAAGAGAGCTCAGGGTGAGAGGTTTGTAATGAAGTCATGGCTAGGAAGTGATAGAGCCTTTTCTAGAACCTTAGGTCTTCTGATTCCTCATTCAGTGCTCCATTCACTATGTTTTATTTTTTGTGAGAATGAAGTGATTGAGGAAAAGAGCAAAGGAGGCTCACCTACAAAATTTAAGAAGCACTATTAAGTTGCCCCTTCCTTCACATTTTTATTTTTAAGAGTTCATTTCTTAGCTTTTTAACTTCTTGTTATTTAAGTTTTCATGTTATTTTTTCCCCCAGACATTGAAAAGTTGAATAGCCGGGTTGAGCTCTCATACCCACCACCTAGTTTTTACGGTTGTTACTGTTTTGCCACATTTGCTTTATCCACCTATCTCACGGTTGTTTTTGTGAACATTTTCAAAACATATTTCATACATCACGACAGTTCACACCGAAGTACTGTGTGTGTCTCAGTATGTATATCATAAGATTAAGGTCAATTTTCTATGTAACTGCAATAGGATAATCACACTTAAAGTTAAGAATAATCCCTACATAATCCCTGATAATCTAATGCATGTATGTAGTATGTATTCACATGTTCTTCACATGTTCCTTGTTGTCCCCAAAATGTTCTTTTTAGTCATTTATTTTGGAACAATCATGCATTACATTTGTGTTAGTTCCTTTTAATTTAGTGTAGTTTCCTCTTTTTTTAAATGACATTGACCTTTTGAAGAGACCAAGCCAGTAGGCTTGTAGAATAACCTACATTCTGTATTTTACTGACAGTTTCTTCCTCATGGGGTTTAACTGTACCCTGTGTCCCCTATACTTCCTTTAAACTTGAACCTAGGTCTAAAGGCTTGAGTAGATCAGGTTAAATATTTTTGGCAAGAATACTTCACAAGTCATGCAGTGTACTGCTCATTATACAACATCAGAAGGCACGTAAAGTGGGGTTATCCTGTTGGTAATCCTAAATTTGATCTCTTGGATAAGATGGTGACAGACTATCTTCCCATTGTAAGTATTTCCCTTTGCAATTAGCAGATAGTCTATGGGGTGATATTTTGGCATTAGTATTTGGTAAGAGTTTTACTGCAGTAATCTGATAACATAGTTGGGAGCAACTGTCTAGAAATGGGTGTTTGGGGATGAAGGAGGGGAGCAGTTTTGAAGGATAGAACTAACTTATCTAGTTTAGGAAACTTGGAATTGCTGCTCTAGTTGACATCAGAGCCTACAGTGGCTAGGGGAGAGGAGACAGAAAGTAGATATCAGACTTTGCCTCCTTTGAAAGTTTGCTCAAGACCCTTGTAGGCGTAGTGAGCTGTGAGAAAAAGAAAGTTCTGGGGTAGTTTGGTTTTGGAGGACTACAAACCTCAGCATCCCCACTTCAACTCATTCTTTCCAGTTAGGCTATCTCGTCCAGTCCTGCTTCTTCAGTCCAATGTTTTACTACCCAGCATTGGCTTTCTTAGTAAGGGAGAGGAGGTCAAAGGAAAGGAATAAATAATTTTGTACCCTTGTCTCCCACACTGTTTTCTTTATTGAAGAGAACATTTAGAACCATACCAAGATTTCTTTTTCTTTACTAATTGGGCAGGGGATGTACCTATGCGGAATAACAGTTTTAAATAGAAAGTAAATGATAGTTTTAGATGACAGGAAATTGGAGATTATTGACAATATATTTTGTTATCTCAAAAGTAACTTTTGAATGATAAGAAATATTTTTGACCTACTAATTAAATATATAGTCCTGAATAGTTCATTTTTTCCTGCTTCAGAGGACTCAAAAATATTGATTTTTCAGTCAAGTTGTTTTAAAAATATATAATGATTTGATTTACTTGGTAACTTTTTTCAAAAATGTGTGTTTGGGATTTTTATTGATTTTTGCAGAGCAGTTTTGTTTTAAGGATTCTTTTAATTCTCAGTGTAACAGGAAAAATAGATACCACTCTTTATCTTCTAGATGAAAAGGAACTTTTATTTTTTAAACATTTTAAATTATATTTAAAATGTTTTTATATATTTTATATAATTTTATATCATATAATTTATATAATTAACAGAAGAATAAAGGGGTAATGTAAAACAACTTATTAGAGCTTTTAATAAGAATTCAAACATAGCAAATATTTTTGTATATACTTAGAAAAATAAGAAACAAAAAAATATATTTCATGCATCTAATTAAATACTACCCCTAAAATTAATATGCATCACATTTGACTGCTCTTGGCAAATACTATAATTGTAGCCCACAATTTTTTGTTTTTTTTTTTTAGTTTTTTACCCTCACAAAGAGAGCATCTTCCTTTATTCTTCCCTCTTACACTTGTGCACAAGAATATTGTAGCTAGAGGGTAAGACAGAATTCTCTTATAGTTCCTGCAAGTGCTTCTCCTAGTTGCATGAGGAATGTTGTTCTTGGTAACTTACAGTTTTGTAATTGAAACTTTCCCCATACAGTGATCATAATATCAGTCATAGGCCATCATCTTCAAGTCATTATTTTGCAAGTACAGTCGACCCTTGAACAACATGATTTTGAACTGTGCAGGTCCACGTGGATTTTCTTTTTCAATAAAAGTGCTACAGTACTATACGATCAGCAGTTGGGTTGAATCCATGGATGCCGAACCATGCATACAGAGGGGCCAACTACTACACACTGATTTTCAACTGCACGGGGCTTGGTGCTCCTAACCCCTGTGTTGTTCAGCAGTCAACTGGATAGGTTCTAGCTTTCTTAATCAGTGTCTATCCCTCCTTTAGTCTTTTTATACAATACAACTCTCTCCAGGTAAACTTATGCAGGATTTTTAAAAACTAACTGATGGGCTTCCCTGGTGGCGCAGTGGTTGAGAGTCCGCCTGCCGATGCTGGGGACACGGGTTCTGTGCCCCGGTCCGGGAGGATCCCACATGCCGCGGAGCGGCTGGACCCGTGAGCCATGGCCGCTGAGCCTGCGCGTCCGGAGCCTGTGCTCCGCAACGGGAGAGGCCGCGACAGTGAGAGGCCCGCGTACCGAAAAAAACAAACAAACAAAAAACAACTAACTGATGCTTGAGAATGCATTGAGCTGAGAAGAGTACTAGTTTTTCTTAGGACAGTAAGAATCATCAAATATATTTGAAAACCAGATTATGTGCAGTTGACTTCTCTTCCTTTCCCTTTGTGAAAATTCACAGAAGTTCAACCTTGTTCTTCCTGATATTGCCAACTGAGGAAAATCTCTCACTAGATAATACTAAGCCAATTCTAAACTTATAAAAATTTGTCACAAGTTGTATTTCTGACAGAATTTTCAAATTCTTTTGTCAATTCTTGTAATAATCTTGGTTCTGCTCTCACCCCTTTTCTGAATCACTGTGTAGATATGCATTTTTCAAGCTTACAGTGTTACACTGTCACATGTTGCCCAGATTTTTAGTCTATATTTTTCCGGATTGAAGCTTGCCTGAAATGGGCAACATTGTCTGCATGTGAGTAACTCATCATCTGTCATACGTGAACCTGGAACATAGTGATTTGAGATTTCAGATACTTCCCCAGTAGGTTCTTGCTTATTCTGGATCTTCTTTTTGCAGTGTGCATCATCAGATGCAACATTTGAAGGATTTTTTGAAAACTTGTATGGTTTAAATTTTTGTTGAAGATGGCTATCTTTGCTTCATAATTGCAAGGTATTTTCAGTTTTAGATTTCTAGACACCAATTAGAATAATCAATCTAATGAATTAAAATTTCTGCATCATCTATTTCCTTCTAGTCACCATTGTATACACCTGCATTCAACACTTCTCCACTTATGAACTGTATCAAGTTAAATTTTAGCCCACAAACGTGAAGGATGAAAGAATACTGTCACATATCCTTTTAACAAAATAGCATGGTCCTGCATTTTTGTAAAAACATGGCATGATGAAGTTCTTCCTGCTGAATGAGAATACTGTATTTCCTTTTAGTTTTTAGAAATATATTGTTCACTCGTTGATTATTGAGTTTGAGAAAATCTATCTAGGGACTTAGTCTAATTACATTTAGTCTGAGATTTCCCAAAGTTCACTGTCATTATTACAGTTTGAAGTGCTTGCTATCTACCTTTGCATTTATCTTTAGTTTCATCTAATAATTCTGAAATGTCTCCTCTGTTAGTTTTCTTCTGTCCATTATGAACAGAAAATAAAAAGTTCTGAGTTCATAACAATAGTGAAAACTAAAGCAGATGAAAGGATCTGCCACCCTAAAATATGCCACTTTGACATAAGGATTATTTTGAGCAGAAGGCAATTGAGAACCAACAGATGCAGGAAGAGCCCTCTTCCCATGCCCCGCCCCGCCCCACCCAAAATTAACTGCCTAAAAGCAGGGCATACATTTCTTTTTGTGAAGGTTCTTACCTTACTGCACCAGGAAAGGAAGAGTGACTCTTATCACCTAAGATGGAGAGTTGATAGATGAGTTTGCATAAACAGACCCAACTAAAATAACACTTATCTTCCATTAGTTCTGCCACGTATTTCCTAGTTTCTTCCCCAGGATTTATTGTCTCTCAAAGCCCCAATTCCCTTTCCTTTGTTAAAATGGTATATACACCCTGAGTCTAACTGTTTCTTTGAGTTTTACTTCTTTTCTGTGAACTCCAGTGTATGTAAATATTAATAAAAATTTTGTGCTTTTTCTCCTGTTGATTTGTCTGTTGTTAATTTAATTCATAGGCCCCAGATACTGCAACCTAAAAGGGTAGAAGTAAAGTTTTTACTTCCTGACACAGACTACAAAGATAATGCCTTGAGTCTTCTGTACCTTTTGGGAAGCTGATGCAGTATTTTGTGCAAAACAATAGGAAAACTCAAGAAAAGAAAGGTGAAGGATAATGTGTTAGTGATGATTTATTTCACTCTCGCATTATCCTTCTAGGCAATTAAAACATTCTTCTGTTTTCTTATTATTTTAGTTTTTTTAAAGCATAGTTGGGAAAAATTGATGCCCAGTGGTGAAATAACACCTAGGATGATGGAATTAGCAAAATATTTTGAGGTGTAGGAAGAATAAAATCACTAATATCCCATAATGTATCTTAGATTTATAAAAGGAGTCTATGGGCTCACCTAGTAATTGTAAGATAGAATGAGTTTTATTCTATTTTAAAGTAATAAGTTACTTTTCCCTTTGTTGTTTGAAGATCTCTAGGAAACAAAGTCATAAAATGTCAATTTTTAAAACTAGAACTGCTAAGGAAAGGAAATTAAAAACTGAACCTATGGACTCTGATAGCGTGCTGAAGGTTAATGGTTAGTTTGGACAGTAAGGTGCGGAGTTCCACTGCTTTGCAGCACTGCTTTCCTCCTACTACTATGATAGGTTTTTTTCACCCTTTTGCACTCCATCTCTAATGCAGTAAGGGTTCTACAAGGCCCTCCCTTTACCACGTACGTATCTTATGAAGCTGGATTTTCCTCACTTCAACAGAACAAGGTGGTGTAACAGATTGAATACAGAAGCAGATAAGAGAATCCAGCTGTCTATATGAACACAGATATTAAAATTAATGAGATTGTAAAAATGGAAAACAATGCCACTCCTCTAAATTTTTGTTTTGGAAAATACAGCTATTTTTTATAAAAGTATTTGTGTTAATATGCAATGGGTTTGTTACAGTCACTTTTAAGTAAATTAATATATATTTCTTGAATTTCTCAGGTTGGGTTTGTAGGCTTCATCCTTAGAAGTTAATCAACTACACTCTTTTTTTTTTTGCCAGGTTTGATTTCTTCAGCATGACAGCTGCCTGAATGCCTTTCAGTTGAGGGATATTAACCAAAGCAAAGATCATTAGTCTATGAAATAATTTGCTCCTTGCTTCTAGGCTCTACCCATGTGTTCCTTATTTTGTGGGTATTTGTTCTTAACCTTTGGCAAGTTTGAGAAGCAAAACTTGGAGGGTTTGGGAGAGGTCTGGGGATTTTAGGTATATCCTAATCCCTATCTCCTTTGTTTACTCACTCATTTTGCTTTTCCTATTCAGGGTTTAAGATTATCTGACTTTGAACTATACAGGATTGCTGACTGCTGATAGAAAGGTCCTCATGGAACAAAATGCACCACGGAAGTGGCTTTGTTAAATTCCATGAGGAAAAATAAATAATATATCTCCCAACTGTATTGAATAGCAAAAGGTAAATAAGAAAATTGACACTACTTTTGACACTACATTGTTAGTATTTGTGTTTTTTTGAGAAGTTATAACACAAGATACCTTTCTAATTTTTCATTTCTTTTATTGTAGTGTTTTAGTGACTATAAAGTATTTCATGGTTATATTTCCTCCTCAAAATAAATAGTATTTGGAGATGGGTGGTATTATCCTTTATAGATGAGGAAATTGAGTTTCAGAAAAAGTTCATTTCATTCATTGTAATACTGGGTGCCAGACACTGCATATTCATTTTGTAAGGTGTGATACTGTGGTCTTCCCTCACTTCACCTTCAGCGTTTCTAGCTCAGAATTGTGTTCTCTTCTCTTTGGGTTAGACAGTGCAGGCCTGGCAGCACAACCTCTGGTGGAAGTGCCAGCTCCTAGAGCATTTGGTCTATTCTCTGCCTCACTGCATTCTGGAAGCTTCTGGTACTAGTATAACCAAGCTCTGCATGCGTTGGTGGAGAGTTATTGAAGAGTTTGGAATTGATAAGTGACACAATAAAAGCATTATTTTAGGAAATTGTTAATTTGGTGGTTCTGTATTGAATGGATGAAAGCAGATAGATCCGGATGCTGAGAGACAGTGTAAAGTGAATCTTATAAAGTAAATCTGGTGCTATAGGTGTGAGGTTCTAAGGGCCTGAACAAGTACTTATGAATGGAAAGGCAAGGTTGGTCGTGGGAAATATTTTGAAGGAAGACTATAGGACTGGGGAATTGATAGGATGAATGAAAGAGGGAAACATTGAAAAAAAACTGCAAAAGGGTGACAGTTTCATTTGAGGAAAAAGAGAAAGGCAAAAGTAGAACTAATTGTTAAAAATCGGGGTAAGATTAATCTAACATAAAATTTACCATTCTTGACTAAAGTGTACAATTCAGTGGCATTTAGTATATTCACAATGTTGTGCAATCACCAATGCTATCTAATCCCAGAATATTCTCAGTTTCTCAAACCCTTACCCATTAAGCAGTCTCTCCCCGCTTCTTCCCTCTCCCCCAGCCCCTGGCAACCACTGATCTCTTTTCTGCTCTATGGATTTGCTTATTCTGGGCATTTTATACAAATGGAAGCATAACATGACTGACTTCTTTCACTTTGCATAATGTTTTCAAGGTTCATCATGTTGTCACATATATCAGTACCTCATCTTTTTTTAATTCCCTTGTATGGATGTATCACATTTTGTCTATCCATTCATCAGTCAGTTGATAAACATTTAGCTTGTTTCTACTTTTTGGCTATTATGAATAATGCTGTAGAACTAATTTTTGAGGGAAAGTTAATGTTCAGTTTTGGAAATATTGAATTTGAGGTGAGTTTAAGTATCCATATAGCAGTTTTCAGCAGTTAAGAGATGAAGGACTGAAACATAGTTAAGAAGTTAGGGTTGGAAGTTAATATTTGATGACTTTATAGGCTGCTATTGAGAACTGATAGCTAAGACTATGAAGTTTATTAGATTTGTCTTTTAGGAAACAATTTATGTAGGGCTAAGGTCTAAACTTTATAGAACCTGATTTTACATTGTTTAAGAAGGAAGAGAATATGAAGAATCTGTAAAGAGTTAAAAAGGAGGAGATGGATAGAGAACCAGTCTATTGGCATAGAGAAAATTACTGAGGAGCATGTCTCAAGAAATTGGGTTAGGACTTCCCTGGGGGTCAGTGGTTAAGACTGTGCTTCCACTGCAGGTGGCGTGGGTTCGATCCCTGATCGGGGAACTAAGATCCTGCATGCTGTGTGGCATGGCCAAAAATAAATACCCTCATAAATAAATAAAAGGTTTAAAAAAAAAAAAGAAATTGGGTTAAAATTGATGCAAGATAAGGAAAATGAAAATGGAAGAAAGGGTTATTTGATTTGGCTGTTGGAAAGATTATTGGGATTTTAAGATGGATACCTTCAGCAGAATACTGTGTGGTAGAAAATGTAGCTGTCCTGCTGTGCTTAGCTCAGTTTTGACTGACAGAGTGGGTGGTGGTAACTGCTGCAGCCTGGATCAGGATCAGCAGGAGGTTTTAGAATACTTGGACCAAGTGGAGATGGTGCAAAGAGAGATTCCCCATACCTTGTTGTAAAGAAGGGTTGCTTTTATCAGTACATAGGAACTTTTAATGATTGTACTGATTTGGATTGCTTTGTAGATTTAAGTAGTCTGCTCAAGCACAGGCTTTCTACTTATTAATATTACATTAACATTTTTTGTGTTAACAAAAATGTTAAAATTCTAGAAAGTTGGTTTGTCATGATGATTTGATACTTGAGATGTTTGCTCTGAATCAGTATCTGTTAAATAGATCTTGATATTGTTGGGAGTTCTGAGTTAAGCCATCAAACAGACTTACTTATTAAAATGCAATTTATATTGTTTATTTAAAATTTTTGGGGATTTCCCTGGCAATTCAGTGGTTAGGACTCCACGCTTCCACTGCGGGGGGGGCCTAGGTTCAGTCCCTGGTCAGGGAGAACTAGGATCCTGCATGCCACGTGGGTGGCCAAAAAAAAAAAATTATCAACTGTTATTTTTTTTTTTCAGGAATTTACTTGCTTCGAATAAACTCAAGAATTTCATTCTCAGTGTTGTTTCATTCTTTACGTTGTACTTGAGAGTTTCTAGAAAATCTTTGGGTATAGTAGGTAGATTACTAAAATTCTTAATTTCTAATTCCAAAATGAACTTTCATAATTCAGCATTCTCAATTAGGGCAGTTTTTTTACTGAAATATGACAAATCCCCCTTTTCTTTCAGTCTAGGCAAAAAATTTACAAATACTAGATGAATATGTTTACAATATTAGGGTTGGAAGGATCCTTGGGGATCTTGAAAGTGACCATTTTCAATTGCATAATGTTTGAACTTTTCATATTTTTCTTTGGTGATCTGTCACATCTCAAGTTTATCTCATTTCCTGATATTTTAACTGCTGATTGTTTTGTTCTTATATGAAATCTGCCTCCCTGTTATTTTGGTCTTGTTCCTGGTGGAGGCAAATAATATGTGGCTGAAATCTCTGGCTTTCAAAGTGCCTGGGTTTGAATCCTTGTTCTGCCACTTAGTTTTGTTACTTTGGGTAAGGTGCTTAATCTCTGTAATTCAGTTTCCACGGCTGTAAAGCAGGGACACTAATGGTGTCTGCCTCATAGAGTTTTTTGGGGATTGGATGAAATGCATTGGATGCATGTATTTAATTAATTAGCAAATGGTAATAATTGTTATTATAAATAATAACTTATTATAACTTATAATAGTATGTAATGAATTAAGTAGTTGTATTGAAGCTCAAACTAGGAATGAAATTCTCTAGTTTACTCAAAACAAGTAAATATTAGCAGTGTTGTTATCGTTATTATCACTTGAGCCACAAGGAACAAGTCACACTCTTGCCTTTTTTCTTATGACAAACTTTAAAATATCTGTAAACAGCTTTCACTTCTACCACCCCTGCCTCACGGTCTCATGTTTTTCCTAGGTTAGATATATTAGTCCTTTGACCTAGACAAAGCTTTAATTTTAATTCTTTGTAGTGGGCATCTGTTGTTTTTACTACCCAACATCCATTCACCCTTATCTCCCTTACCTTGGTAACATATGTCTTGATCTTGATTTTCCTGTGGGGAACCATCCCCTCCTCCAGTATTTATCTTGTGGGTGGTGTGTTGTACCCCCCCCCCCCCCCCCGCCCCTTTTGGGTCTCTGGCACCAGGAGGATCAATAGTGATTGGTTTAGGGAAGGGCATATGACATTAGCCAAGCCAGTCAACTCCAGTCAGAGCTGGTCCTTTTATCATTGTCCTGGTCTTGAATGTTGGAAGGTGTTAAGTTCAGCTACTGTAGTCATTCACAATGGGAGGACCCTTTCTGAGGATAGAATCAGAATAGAGGAAGTGAAGCCTAGGGATGGAGAGAGAAAAACCAGGTTTACGTATCATTGTTTAAAATGTGCCTACAGCGAATGCTGTAAATGAGCCAATAAATTCTCTTTTGCATAAGCCAGTTTAAGTTGGGTTTTCTTTCTGTTACTTAAAAGTTGAAGGAGTCATAGCCAATACACAGTATTCCAAGTGGGGATTGAATCCGACAGAATAGAATAAAACCATCATCTCTTTCACTTTAGACTCAAATTCTTCTATTTTGACACTGTATCACAAGTCTGATTGTATCAGTTCCTGCTTAAAATCCCCTTAGTGGCTTTCCAGTTCCTCTTCAGGTAAGGACAGAATTCCTTAACATGGTCTTCAAAGTGCAGCATTGTTTGACTCCTATCTTACCTCCCATTGTATACCATCTTGCTCTCTTTTCCAGTCACACTGGTTTCTTTTCAGTTTCTTATATTTGCTGTGCCATAGATCTTTTGCACATGCTGCTGCTTTTGCATGGAATGCTTTCTTCCCTCTCCTGTTTGCCTAGTTAACTCTAACTCATTCTTCAAATAACAATTAATCATTGCTTCCTTAGGGGAGCCAGTTTTGATTATGCTAACTAGACCTAACTTCCTTACTCTGAGTTTTAAAATTCCTTGTCCATGGCCTTCATAGCACATATTGTCAGTTTAATCTGTTTGTATGAGTGTTTGTCTCTGTCTCTAGACTGTAAGGTTCATGAGTGCAAGACCTGTGTCTTAATTTTTGACCATCATTGTATTCCTGCCTGGCACGATGTCTGGCACATAGTGCATGTTTATTAATAAATGTACTTTTTTTTTGATGTGAACCACTTTTAAAGTCTTTATTGAATTTGTTATGATATTGCTTCTGTTTTATGTTTTGGTTTTTTGGCCCTGAGGCATGTGAGATCCTAGCTCCCTGACCAGGGATTGAACCCTCACCCCCTGCATTGCAAGGCGAAGTCTTAACCACTGGACTGCCAGGGAAGTCCCTAAATGTACTTTTTAAATGAATGAACTTTGGACTTACTGCCTCTCTGGTAACTAAAACTGATAAATAGTATATCTTCAATTTATATTTTTTGTAAA